AGAGAGAGAGAGAGAGAGAGAGAGAGAGAGAGAGAGAGAGAGAGAGGAGAGGGAGAGAGAGTGAGAGCACACACACACACTCACTCACTCACTCGATAAGACTGGGCTTGAGTCCGGTCTTAAGTACCGGACTCAAGTTCAGTCCCGCGGGCAGCAGTGCAATTTGCCTCAGGGCTGAACTGAAAATCGAAGGTCTGAGTCTTGACGCCAGAATGCCGGATGGCGCCAAGTATCGAAATCCGAAAGTGCCAAAGGAGGGATTTGAGAACGGGCGCCAGGGCACCAACAGTCAGGGACCTGAGAACAGAAACCCAAAATCAAATAGCAAGCTGGCGGGTGGTAACCCGCGGACCAGGGATCGAGCCCTGGCTGATTCCGTAACAGCCTCGGCCAAAAACCATAGGCACCAGCTGATTGTTCTTGTGCTCCCCAAGCTTCTGGCAAAACAAAGATTATAGGAACGCAACTCAGATGAGTAATATAACTCTGAACTTACCTGCAGCCGGTCAGTTTGAGGACTATATCTCAAGGCTAAAACAAAAAAAGGAAAGGAAGTGGATGGACTATTGGGTGCTGTCGAACAGCAGGAGCCATAACAGTAAGGCTGTGTTAAAAGGAGGTGGAGTGGGGAGGGGCCAGGAGAGAAGAGGAGGAGAAGAATCAGAAGCAAGGGCAAAAACAAAAAGAGGCTTCAGCATGAAAAATGGGGAAGTGAGAAATTTCTGCTCACCAGAAATGACAGCGAAGCCAGCAACACCGCAGATCCAAGCAGGAATTCGTACGACTGTTGTGAGGAGAGCAACACCAGCAAGTGTGAAAAAGAAGTTCCAGTGTATGCCATATTCACTCACATGTTCCTAGAGAGAGCAGAGCATGAGATGCGAGCATGGCCACACACGCACAAGAGAGAGAGAGAGAGAGAGAGAGAGAGAGAGAGAGAGAGAGAGAGAGAGAGAGAGAGAGAGAGAGAGAGAGAGAGAGGCAGAAACCAGCACAGACAAAAGAAAAACAGAACCCATCAGAGGAGTTTCACGCATGTAAAAAATGTACGAAAAGAAGATCCAACGCAGTTGCGTAGTGGCAGGATGGTATACTTTTTTTTTCGTTGATAATAATACGAGTAGTTCAGATCCTTGTGGATACACATGTATTTTTTTGTTGAGATACAATAATCTTATACGATAAGGTTAGGGGTCACGACCACATATTTCCCATTTTTCCCGAGGAAAGAAAGGAGAATCCTCAATAGAAATGGCAAAAACCATCACATGCAACAAGCACAGTTTAAGACAGGCAAATAGCAAGTGACTGCTCCAACTGCACTCGCCATGGATAGAAAGGCACAAATCAAAAGTTGTTGCTCCTCAGGTTGCAAGTTCAATCTTCAAATTCTATGCAAACATACTTCCAGCACACCTTGTGAGTTCGAAGTATATGCAGGCATCGCGCACAACCCCCGCCACACAGCTGCTGCACATGTGTTGTGCATGCAGTGGCATAAACCAGAAAATTCACAAAAAAAAAAAAAAAACTCTAGCAAAAAAAAAAACTCGAAGTTGACATCACACCTGGAATGTGTACAGAAATCGAACAATGAGAAGCGCCTATGGGAGGAAGAAACGGACCGTCCAGAACGGTCGAACGTACGGGTCATGGGGCTTGAGGCAACAAAAAAGCGCAATCGTCGGAAACTACCTGTGTCGGATCAAGCGCAATACAACAGTCCGATCTGAGATACTGTATTTGCTCTGAAGAGGGAGATGAGAATTAAAGAATTCCCCCGCACGAGTTCTTTATCCGGATCCTGAGGCGGTTTGCCAGGAACAGAGGAGAAGCTTGGGAGTGAGCTGTTGACCTGCTGTCAAAAACTTCAGGTGATTGATGCCCAGTGCCGTTGACGACACCTGTGGAGGTCAACGACAGCAACAGAACCAGTTCCTTTGGTCGCCCTTTCCTAACCTCTTGCGTGGTTGTGTAATGTGACCTCCTTCTGTCTGTGTCTGATAGCCAAGTAGGATATGACGTGTATGTGTCGATCTTTTGACAGTCTATGATGTGTTAAGGAATACCTGAAGTCAACTGTGCTGTACGTATGACATGCGTGTTACGATCCTCGCCAATTTCGAAGGACAATTTCACGAGAAATCACAATGTCATCCAATTGCAAAAGGAAATGAACTTGAGAGGAGAGAGAAGAAGAAGAAGAAGAAGAAGAAGAAGAAGAAGAAGAAGAAGAAGAAGAAGAAGAGGAAGACGACGAGGAAGAGGAAGAAGACGAAGAGGAAGAAGAGGAAGAGGAAGAAGAGGAAGAGGAAGAAGACGAGGAAGAAGAAGAGGAGGAGAAGAAGAGGAAGAAGACGAGTAAGAAGAAGAAGAAGAAGCAGAAGAAGAAGAAGAAGAAGAAGAAGAAGAAGAAGAAGAAGAAGAAGAAGAAGAAGAAGAAGAAGAAGAAGAAGAAGAGGAGGGGAAGAAGAGGAAGATAGGAAGAAGAGAAGGGGAAGAAGAGGAAGACGAGGAAGAAGACGAGGAAGAAGAAGACGAGGAAGAAGAAGAAGAAGAAGAAGAAGAAGAGGAAGAAGAAGAAGAAGAAGAAGAAGAAGAAGAAGAAGAAGAAGAAGACGAGGAAGAAGAAGAAGAAGAAGAAGAAGAAGAAGAAGAAGAAGAAGAGGAAGAAGAAGAAGAAGAGGGAGGAGAAGAAGAGGAAGAAGAAGAAGAAGAGGGAGGAGAACAAGAGGGAGGTGAAGACGAGGAGGAGAAGACGAGGCGGAGAAGACGAGGAAGAAGACGAGGAAGAAGTCGAGGAAGAAGTCGAGGAAGAAGTCAAGGAAGAAGACGAAGACGAGGAAGAAGAAGAGGAAGAAGACGAGGAAGAAGAAGAGGAAGAAGACGAGGAAGAGAAGAAGAAGAAGAAGACGAGTAAGAAGAAGAAGAAGAAGCAGAAGAAGAAGAAGAAGAAGAAGAAGAAGAAGAAGAAGAAGAAGAAGAAGAAGAAGAAGATGAAGAGGAAGAAGAAGAGGAGGGGAAGAAGAAGAAGAAGAAGAAGAAGAAGACGAGAAAGAAGAAGAAGACGAGAAAGAAGAAGAAGACGAAGAAGAAGAAGAAGAAGAAGAAGAAGAAGAAGAAGAAGAAGAAGAAGAAGAGGGAGGAGAAGAAGAGGGAGGAGAAGAAGAGGGAGAAGAAGAAGAGGGAAGAGAAGACGAGGAGGTGAAGACGAGGGATGAAGACGAGGAGAAGACGAGGAAAAGACGAGGAAGAAATTGAGGAAGAAGTCGAGGAAGAAGTCGAGGAAGAAGACGAAGACGAGGAAGAAGACGAGGAAGAAGACGAGGAAGAAGACGAGGAAGAAGAAGAGGAAGAAGAAGAGGAAGAAGAAGAGGAAGAAGACGAGGAAGAGAAGAAGAAGAAGAAGAAGACGAGGAAGAAAAGAAGAAGAAGAAGACGAGGAAGAGAAGAAGAAGAAGAAGAAGAAGAAGAAGAAGAAGAAGAAGAAGAAGAAGAAGAAGAAGGGGAAGAGGAAGAAGAGGAGGAGGAAGAAGAGGAGGAGGAAGAAGAGGAGGGAGAAGAAGAGGAGGAGAAGAAGAGGAAGACGAGGAAGAAGAAGAAGAAGAAGAAGAAGAAGAAGAAGAAGAAGAAGAAGAAGAAGAAGAAGAAGA